TCGAGAGCGGTAAGCAACACTCCACTTTGCACCGGGTGATGGTCCCGGAACTGTGAGTACTTTGTGGAGCCATCATGGCTGGGAATGATTTCCAAACTGGAACACTTGTGTACTTACTGTACTGTTTGCCTTGGTAGTCTCCCCGCTCACCTTACCCATTCACTGTGTATGAACTTATGTCGTTTGGTCAGATTCAATATCGGTGGTGGGGCTTTGTGTGACCCTGCTGCAACAATACATCCATAAGAACTCTCATTAACAGCCAATTCAAGCACACGCCTTAACTAATTGGTTCAGCTAACTGTGGACTTAGTATCTTGCATCGCCTGTCCTACCACTGCACGTAAATCCACTATCAGCCCACTGTAACCTACGAGCGTGGTGCTATATATTTATATGCATACTTTATTAGCTGTTGCAGCCTACTGGGACCCATTCACATATCCTTCAGGTCCTCTCACCACTGACATTCGGCATATTATCAACAGTTGCCACCGTGCTGAATTGCTACATTACCATCATCGCCAATCCCCCAACTTGCTCCTGTGTTTATATCCATTGTGTGAGTGTCTTACATGCCTGTGAGCCCAGGCTTGATTTTATTTACTGTTTGACAGCGCTGCCAATTTTTATTGTGCAATGATCGGAATTATCATTTTGTATAATTTTTGTTTATTTATAAAGTGTGTTATATTTGTCCGTATCTGCAGTTGGCCTCCTTTTGGGGTCTACTTTCTGTGTAGGATCTTTCCTTCACGATCATTTTTGCAATATTAGATTATTGGGCCCTGAGGACACCACCTGATATTTATTATGGTGAGTCGGCTATACTAGCAGTGGTTCCCCTTGCTTATGTTTTTATTGGTTATGCCAGTGAACAGTTTACAAAATTTACTGAACTTGTAGTGCAAGACCATTTCATCACAGTCCAATGCATCTGTCCTTAACTAACTATTTTGGCCAGTGGCTGCCCAGGCATACCTCATACAAGTGAGAATCCATAAGCTGGTGGAATCCCATAGTGTTCAGTTTACTGGTGAGCCAGTTCTTTTGGGTGGACTGCAGAGTCCAGCAGTCCCCCTCCATAGAAGGAGCTCCTGGGTTGCTGTTGTCTGTAAAGAGTTACATCTTCCTCTGTGAGCCTCTTGCTTCTATTCCCATGTGGCTGGATCTCTCAGAGCAGAGCATTCCTCCTTTTTATAACAGCAGAAGAGGAGACAGCAGAGCCCAGAAAAGCAGAGCTAGCATTAACCCTTCCCTAACTTGGGCAGACTAGCTAGCTCAGCTAATAGTGTGTGAAGTGGGCTCAAGAAGAAAAGAAAAAATTAAAAAATGTGAAAACAGTATCTTATGAAACAAATGGCCTTTTTTATACATTCTGTACCTAATGCAGCCACTGTGTCCCTTCCCTCTTCTCTTTGTGTCCCCTCCCTCTCTTCATTTTGTGTTCCCTGTCCAACACAGTTACCAAAGGATGCAGTAGAATCATTTCCCTTGTGTTTGTAACACTGGGATTCAGTAATAACTCTGTCATCATATCAAAAATATTGCACACCTATAAAAAATACCATGCCTCTGTTTAACAATCCTGCTTTACTGGCACATCCAGGGCACTGCTAAACATATCCAACAACTCGGGCACAGAGGACTCCTCTTTCACAGTATTACTTCATTAAATTTTCAAATGATCCATGAATTAAAATGTAACTATAAGAAGTGTAATTAAAAAAAATCAAAAAAAATCAAAAAAAGTTCATTACATATTTGGTAGCTGTGGGGAAGAAGGAAAACATAGGTAGAAGATGTTAGGGAAGGGTGGTGTCTTATTTTGCTAGCAACCAAAATCACTGTCATCAAGTTATGGATTTCTATAACTTTCCCCCTAGTTGTCACCCATAAAAAAAAAAAATTATATCATGCCTTATTAAAAACTAACCAGAATATTGTATGATAAAGATCTATTATTTGTCTCTCTGGATTCAGCATTTACAATACCTAACAACACTATATTGCCAAAACTATTGGGACGCCTGCCTTTGCACGCACATGAACTTTAATGGCATCCCAGTCTTAGTGCATGTGATCAGCACAGGGCCAATCAGCAGTGTCCACATAGAGGTCAGGTCTGCATCCTCCTACAGCAGAATAAAAACTCCTTTAACATGTGCTCTGCTGGACACTGACAGAAGTCACAAGACTGCTCTAACTGCTGATGGGAAAAGGTATTTAGCAGTTTATATTTACTAAAATAATTGCACTTCCATGTTCTGTGTACTGTGGGAGACCAGATATAGTGAATGCAGGGTCCTGGGTTTAGTAAAACTTTAAGAGTTTACTTCTCTGGATCTAAGGAGCCAAGCCAAACCTCTGAAAAACAATCCCACACCATAATCCTCCCTCCACCAAACTTTGAACTTGGGCACTTGGAACATTGCAGTCCAGCAAGTACCGTTCTCCTGGCAACCGACAAACCCTGACACGTCCATCGGATTGCCAGACAGAGAAGCATGATTCGTCACTCCAGAGAACACGTCTCCACTGCTCTAGAGTCCAGTGGTGGCGTGCTTTACACCACTACATCCAATGCTTTGCATTGCACTTGGTGATGTAAGGCTGGATGCAGCTGCTCAGCCATGGAAACCAATTTCATGAAGCTCTCTATGCACTGTTGTGCTAATCTGAAGGCTACATGAAGTTTGGAGGTCTTTAGCTATTGACTCTGCAGACACTTGGCGATTTCTGCACACTGTGTGCTTCAGCATGTGCTGACCTCGCTCTGTCATTTTACGTGGCCTACTACTTCATGCCTGAGTTGCTGTTGTTCCCAGTTGCTTCCACTTTGTTATAATACCACTAACAGTTGGCTGTGAAATATTTAGTAGCATGGAAATTTTCATGGATGGACTTATTGCGACCTATCGCGGTACCATGCTTGAATTCGCTGAGCTCCTGACAGCAACCCATTCTTTCACAAATGTTTGTAGAAGCAGTCTGCATGCCTAGGTGCTTGATTATATACACCTTTGATTGGAGGTGCTTGGAGGGGTGTCCCAATACTTTTGGCAATATAGTGTACTGTATGTAGAACTATGAATATTTTTATAATGAGGGTTTTCTTCTGCTATGTCTATACCTGAAGAATACTGACCTAAACCAACAGAATCAAAAGTTTAATTAATGCTATGCTGTAGAAAAACCATCTAGATGATGGGAATTTAAATATACATGCAAAGGTAACAAATACAACAATAGCATATACTGTAATTAAAAATGTTTTTGCATCTTTATTGTTATATTTAAAAATATAGCAGTATAAAAACAATTAATATACATGTTTAGATGTCAGTGCTAGCAATTATTGGAATAGCTAGAGAACTTCTGTAGAGTCCTCAGAAATCACTAGTGTAGGTCAACGTGTTTTGCGGGGTAGCCTGCTTCATCAGGACCTTAGATCTCATATTTAATTGAGTTATCCACTAGAACAATATTAAAAATATTTGCATATTATAAAAAAAAACAATCATACATAAAAATGTTTCTTACAACAATGATTGAGGTAAATTAATCAAGTAAACCTAAACCCATAACGGACAGAGAGGGAAAGAAAAGAAGAAAAAAAAAAAAAAATTAAATGGGAAACAAACAAAATGTACAGTATATTAGAAGCTAAATCCAATAACTTATTGGATAATCCAATAAATGATGTATATTAAATTGTTTTTATACTTCTATATTTTTAAATGTGACAATAAAGATGTAAAAACATTTTTTAATTATTTACTATTGTTGTATGTGTAACCTTTGGAGGTATATTTAAAGTCCCATCACTTTTTTTTTTACAGGTTAGCATTTCAAAGGCGTGATACCTTCCAATGGAAATATTGGTATTCAACACCACTTCCACACTCTATTAATTTTAACTGGTGCTATAGACACCCTTTCAATGTTCTGTTTGGAATCCTTTTTCTAAGGAGCCAGAGTAACACATTGGTATGTTTGGGGTCAGGCCCAACCCTTTTCAAGCCACCTAAAAGAGAGAAACTGTGCACTAACAACCAGATTATCATACGATTGCTTCAAAAGTGGTATTTTGCATACGATTTTCTGATCGTGTGTGCTAGGCTTTAAAATAACCTGCACAAACTATGCTCAGGCATATTTGATAGGTGCAAATTGACATTTAAACTGCCTTTAGCCTTGGCAATAAATGCAAATGGTAGGGAAGCCCATCTAGCACAGGTAGGCCTGTAGTGCCAAAGTGTTCCATTAGAACTTTTTTAATTATCTGTAACATTTTTATCAAAAGCCTAGTTTACTGAAAAAGTAGCACATAAAAACAGCCCTTGCTGCACAATTAGCTTCCCTCTGTTATTGCCCTATGTAAATGTAATGCTCTGAAGTACTCTCCCTGTGCAGGGAGTCCCAAAGGCACAATAATGCAGTGATTATATCAGGGACACTCTTGAACTTGGACCACATAGCACCAGAGAAGAGGCAAACAAGAAGAGAGCCCTGTGTTTTATGTGACTTGCAAAAAGATATCTATAAAAAAGGGCGTTAAACCTGCACATTAACAGATATCAATACCAATAGTTGTTGGGGAAAGCGTGACATGCCATGTTACACTTCACTTCTATAGAAATTACTACAACAATACAATCTAGCATAAATACACCTATAATCTGGTTTAGGAAACAAAAAACGCACTTTATAGTAAGGTGTGTCTGATATTTCGTATTGAACCTCAACCTGAACTAAGTCAACTATGGCTATACTAATGTTCTGAGTCAGCATTGGACAAACACAGATAAGAATTAATATAAAAAAGCCTATTTATCTTAGTTATTAGTAAGACTGTTCCACCCATCCTTGGCTATTCCTGCAGTGTATTTACTTAAGGATAAAGATTTTCTATAAAAGCTGCAGCAAAGCTCAGAGGCTTCACTCTGCCTATTACCTCTGATCACACTTACCGGGTACCCAAGTGACTGTTTGCAAGGATGAGTAATTTGGAGACCTCGATGGTTCTGATCATGGATGTCTTTGACCAATATGCCTGTGCAGAAGGCAAAAAGGACACTTTAACCAAGGAGGAGTTTAGAAAACTGATGGAAAAAGAGTTGCCTGGGATCCTTCAGGTATGAATTTGCTACAGTATGTGATGGGTTATGTCCACAGATGAGTAGATGTTGTATGAAAGGCATCTTCCAGACCTTATCATACATCTGTAGTCACCAAGGTTTTGTTGTGTAGAGTAGGGAGAAGCTATAACCTCGGTTAGGTTTTTATTGCTGAGGCCACTTGCTGTGTTACCACAAAGAAGATTCTTCCTCTCTGGTGACCACAGTCCCTGGAACAGATGGTGAGAGGAAATCTTGTAGTAAGGACATGTGTTCTGATGGCAACTGTTTAAGAGTTCATGTTGATGTTCGTTCTACTTAAACACTGTGTTTTCAATTCAATTGCATGCAACTGTGCATTAAAGTGTTACTAAACCCAGGACCCTGCGTTCACTATATGTGGTCTCCCACAGTACACAGAACATGGAAATGCAATTAATTTATTAAATATAAACTGTTAAAATACCTTTTCTTATCAGCAGTATATAGCAGTGTCCAGCAGAGCACTGGGTAATCTTGTAGGAGGAGTTTTCACTCTGCTCTGCCTGTCCTATGAGGCTGCATAATCCCTGACCCACTGTCTGGACAGTGCTGATTGGCTCTGTGCTTATCATGTGCACCCTCCAAAAAAAAAAAAAAAATCCTCTCTAGCAATACACATTAAACTGAGCATGTGAAGTGTGTCGCCTAGGGCTCTGTACTATCAGCAGATGGATTGGGGACAGTAGAAGGGAGGATCAGAGAAGACAGGATCAAACAGCCTTATTACACATTGCGGATGATTAACCCCTTAAGTTCCACAGTGAGTATAGCAAGCATGCTTTACTGATTATTATTATACAGGATTTATATAGCACCAACAGTTTGCTCAGTGCTTTACAATATAACGGGAGACAATACAGCAACAATACAAGAGGGATAGGAGGGCCCTGCTCCTTGGAGCTTACAATCTAGGAGATATACATACTGATTTTACTGTTGTGGGTTTAGCAACACTTTAATAGAAAGCACAGCTTTAATATGAATAAGCTGTTTGACTGCAGAATCTGAGCACAGAGAAAAGTAGGTCCAACGCAGCCTCTAAAGTGCCATGTTAACCGCTCTAATAAAGTAAGTGAGATTCTCCTTACCTGCTCTCCAAATGCAGGAAAATTACATCTCTTCGATATGAGCCTTTAGAAGAAAGGAACTCTCATTTTGTAAAAATGTGGGCAAATCTCTCCAACGTGGCACAGACAAAAAAAAACTGACAGACATTCTGATTTTTAGATTTCCTATTCAAATTTTTTTAAAAAAAAAATTGCCTAGAGATACAATAAAAAGGGACTTTTTGTCTATGTAAGAACATTTTTTAATCAGACTGCTGATCCTTACACTTTTGCAGAGCTACAATGGGTGAAAAGTTGTCTGCATTCCAACACACATCCAAGTGTGGGGAATACCTATTCCCCTGTTTTAGGCTGTGCTTCCATCCAACAGTCCTGTAGTGACATGGAGCCAGTGGATAGAACCACAGCACACAATGGGGGGGGGGGGGGGGCAGTCGAACCATAATGGATGCTTCTGATTTTTGGATATGCTCATTATCCGTCTTAGAGATAAAGTACATGGCTTGTACAAATGCTCTTCTGACCCTTTTGGCATTCAAGATATCGCCTTTGGCTCCTGGTCATTTGCATGTCTCCATGTTATATAGAAATGAAACCTGAGCTTTTACCATAACTGTAGAATAACTATTTTTTTACAGAATAATTAATTAATAATAAAAAAAAATATCTCTCTCTCTCTCTCTCTCTCTCTCTATCTATATTATATATATATATCCAACAAAATACTACATGAGATTACTCTCATGCTTTCCAAATACAGTAGAGGGCAGGTTGCATGCAATCCCTGTGCACTTTGATGGCTCAGACAAAGGAATATCCCCTCCTTTCTGCTTTCAGAGAATGACGTTCTGCAGAGGTTGCCAAAAAGCTGCTGGCATTGCCAGGCTATATTTTTAAAAAGCCAAGGCTAATCTGAGAACTGGGTGTCATGGATAAAGCCTATAATAAATGTTATTTGTTAAAAATTGTTAAACAGTAAATAATAGATTTACTATTATTAATATTCTAAAAAAAAAAAAAAAAAAAAAGTGTGAATAACAAATATACAGTACATACAATTGCTGTTGAAAAAAAAAATTCAGTTTATGTTTAACTATGGATCCTCTTTGCTTCCAGCCAAAATTAGAGCAGGGTAACTGCTTATTTGTATGCACTACTACAGATTATGTAAGCTCCAGGATCAGGCCTTCCTAGTCCCCTTGTATTGAACTGTATCATTGCTGTATTGTCTCCCGTTATATTGTAAAGCGCTGAGCAGGGGGACTGACAACTCATGGGGCCCCCGGGCAATAGGGGATCATGGGGCCCCTGTGTCCTTTCCCAAACTCAAAAAAGCCTATGAAAAAGGTACGAGGGGCATCTCATGGAGCCCCCTACTGACCCCGGGCCCTCGGGCAGTGCCCAAGTTTCCAAATGGTCAGTCCGCCCCTGGTGCTGAGCAAACTGTTGGTGCTATATAAATCTTGTATAGCAATAATAAAATGGGGCCCCTTTATGCATTTTTCACCCAAGAATCACACAGCTTTAACCCAGAATTCATGCATTTTGCAATTGGATTTAGTTAGAAAAAATGTGAGTGTATTGTGAAAAAAATTATAAAAATCAACCTCTATGTATCTAGTAAGCACATAATTATGTGTCCGCTACAAAAATAATTAAAGTGATACTAGACACACGCTGGGGTAGATTTGCTAAAACTGGAGCACTCAGAATCTGGTGCAGCTGTGCATGGCAGCCAATCTGCCTTCTAATCTGAGCTTGTTCAATTAAAGTGTTACTAAACCCACAACAGTAAAATCAGTCTGTATATGCAGTTAAGCATGCTTGTTATACTCACTGTGGAACCTAAGGGATTAATCCTCTGCATTGTGTAAAATGGCTGTTTGATCCTTTCTTTTCTGATCCTCCCCTTCTTCCACTGTCCCCAATCCATCTGCTGATAGAACAGAGTTCTAGGAGTCACTCTGCACATGCTCAGTTTGGTGTGTATTGCTAGAGAGGGTTTTTTTTTTTTCTTGGGAAATTGCATGTGATCAGCACAGGGCCAATCAGCACTGTCCGGACAGAGGGTCAGGACTTTCGCATCCTCTTATAGCAAAAAGAAAACTCCTACAAGCTTTAACCAGTGCTCAGCTGAAGTCACAAGACTGCTCTAACTGCTGATGAGAAAAGTATTTAGCAGTTTATATTTACTAAAATAGTTGCACTTCCATGTTCTGTGTGCTGTATGAGACCAGATATAGTGAATGCAGGGTCCTGGGTTTAGTAACATTTTAAGCTTTGGCAATAAATCCTGGCATGTGATTGGTTTCTATCCAGAAGTGAGCCTGATTTTGCATGCTCCAGCTTTAGTAAATACCCCCACTGTTTACTTTACATGATACCCTCTCTTTACATATATGGATGATTGAACTGTATTTATTTTAATATGAAAAAACACATCTAAGTACCTTTTTTCACAATCGATTTACAGCTGTCATGTGACCCAGCTTTTTTCCAGTCCATCTGCAGGAAAACATGGTGGGAAGTGCATGTAGTCCAATGCTGTTGTCACATGTTCAAAAAAAAAAAAAAAAAAAAAAACAATCAGCCTTCAGAATACACAGGAAAAATATATACCTAATATCAAAAATATTTTAAATCATCTTACAAATATGTATTTGAGATCAAATCTCTATTATTTAGTGCAAAAGCATGGTGTGGGCTATCTAGGGGTAGGTTCTGTCACACCACTCCAGCCTGTGTCTATTGTTTGTATGTGCTTAGAATTACAGAGAGGCGATGCCTCCATCAACACGTAACATCTGGTCCTCATTGTGTTTAGCTGTCTAGAGAGCATGGAGGAGGAGGGAGGGAGTGGGCTGTCATTTACCTGGAGTGTATACGCCCACATGTGTGACTATAGTCTGCAGAGATAAGAAAAAGGAAGAAATGAACGGCGAAGAAGGAAACTGAAACTGGAGCATGCTCAGTAGATGTGATGGTCTGCACAATCTCAGGCTGCAGCAGGGACACAGACAAAGAGGGAGGGACAGTGAACAGCAGGAACAACCAGGTTTTTTGCAGAAAACAGAAAATAAATCTCAGTGATTGAGTGAGTATGAACAGCATGTAATACAGATCGTACTGACAGTTTTTAATGTTATGGGTTTAATGACACTTTAAAGACAATCCATATTTCTAGGGAGAAAAGATAACAGTAAGGCATTATTTATGGGATGTTTTAGGGTCTATATCATTCACTAGATTACAAAATATCTTTTTCTTCATTTTAGAGTGGAAAAGGAAAAGATGATTGTGATAAGCTTCTAAAGGATTTGGATGCAAATGGCGACAGTGAAATTGATTTTAAAGAATTTGTCACCCTTGTTGCTACATTCACCTTCGTGGCGCATGAGAGATTTCAGAAAGTCGCCAAGAAATAACTACTTAAACCAGCCGCTTTTTATAAATAAAGCTTTGTAATTTGCAACACTGTGCATAAAGGTGTTAAGTCTTTTTTATGTATCTTGACATTGCAAGAAGAGGCGGATGATTTGAGTGGAATAAGGAATGACTGTCAATGGTTTCCTTCTTTCTGAGCTGCAAAGACGATGCTGGAGGGATAAAGTCCCATGTCATTTTACTACAGAATACATAAATACAAGCATACAGTATGTGTGACAATTCATACAGGTTATAGTGGACCAGAACCCAAAAAGGGAAAAGATCAAGTGGTAAACTCATGTGCCCACAGCCTCAGAGCTGTATATCTGCAGTGCGAGAACAGGGAACATCCAAGAAATATTAAATGTGTCTAAATAGCAATGCATTGACTTGATGACCATCACATAGCAGTGTACTGCTACAAGGCGGCCACGCTGTGCACAATAATGTAAATATACGTAATTTAGCATTTCCCGGTAGGGGGCAAGTACGTGCCACCTTACCTGCGCTACAATTGGTTCCCAAAGATGTCAATCACCGGATCCTGGCTGGTGAGTCCCAACTGGGACTCTGATTGTCAGTGAAGTTGAGAGTGAGAGATCTGTGTGTAATCGCAGATCTCTCTCCTGTCAGCATGGAGGTGCTGCTTTCCATCTCTCTGCACAGAGGTGACTCAGAGGTGGCTGTTAGCACCCCCAAACTCAGTGCTCCGGATCCCGCTCAGGCCACCGATATGCAGCATAGATGGTGCACACTGGACAGCAATGTGCACTCTCCTGTATTCCTCACAGCAATAGGAAGCTATGTCTTGTACAGCCTGAAAAATGCAGTTCAAATGCTCTTCATTACAGTAGAGTCTCTCTACTCTGGAATACAGTTCCCACAGTGCAGTGCTGCCTGACTGTTGAGTCTATTGAACTCTTCCTACTCAGCAGCTCCCTCCTCTTTCTGATATGGCTGTTAACCAGTTCAGCACCACAGAGCAGCAGCTACAGAGAGCAGCTGCAGCCAGTGTTTCTCTCACTCTCACCAAGAACTTGGCTACACGATACTGTACCAAAATCAAATGTTTTTTTTTTTTTTTATGTGTCTCAACATTACAAGAATAGGAGGTTAGGTTTGGATGGAGTAAGGCCTGGCTGTCAATGTTTCCTTCTCTTTTGAGCTGGGAGCTATAAAGAGGATGCTGGAGGGATAAAGTCCCACATCATTTTACTTTGTAATACTTAATACAAGCATACATGTGTCTATTCATGAACAGGTTATAGTGGACCTGAGCTCAAGAGAACAACGTATGGTTAGTAATGAGTAAAATATCATATATGTACAGGAAACGTACAGGCAATGCTGGCAACTAGTATCTGCTTGCCTTTTTGTTCACTGCTTCCACAGGTCAGGTCCTCTTTAACTGCTTCCCAACCGCCCTGTAGCAGAACTACTGCTACAGGGCTGCGCAAAGGCATGAATATATACAGTACATGATTTTGCATTTCTCGGTAGGGGGCACGCGCGCCACCCCTGCATGCGCTGCCATTGTTGGCTACAGCTGTCAGTCACCGGGTCCTGGCTGAAGATTCCCCGCCGGCAATTGCCGAGGAACACTGATGTAAACAATACAGATCTCTCCTGTCAGCACCAGCATGCTGCTTTGTATTGCTCTGCATAGCAGAGCAATACAAAGCAGCATGCTTACATAGTACAACACGCACAGGCTACATAGTAAAACTGCACACAGAACACAGTTAACCCTTTGATTGCCCCAGATGTTAACCCCTTCCTGCCCAGTGTCATTAGTACAGTGTCAGTGATTTCATTAGCCCTGATCACTGTATTAGTGTCATTGGGATGCCAGTGGCAAGTAGTTCCTCCCCAGTGTTAGAATGCACACCGCAGTCCCGCTCTGGATGAAATTTGGTTCCGCATCATGTGATGGCATGGTGCGCCCCGGCATCTCTAGGCCAGGATGCATGGCAATCTGCCTGCACCATGGCAACGTATGACACTGATCTATGGCAGGCAGCATGAAGGGCCCTCTCAGCTTTCAGACAGAAGTGCTCCATCAAAACCTGCCCCACCTCCCACCCTCTGCCATGCTACTAGAGTAAGGAAGGACTCGGACAACAAGTGGGGACCCTGTGATGGGGGGGCTCACGTCTAGGAGTTTCTGATGTATAGGAGGTACTTTGATGGGACAATTGTGCTCAGGTCAATTATCACCCTTGAGGTCACTCCTAATGTTGAACATGATGTGTTTGCAAGAGAACTGCTGTGTTTGGACAGGCACAGAAATTTTCAGATACATGATGCTTACGGGCTAGGAATAGGACTGCTCCCATTTGCACCTTCACAGGCTTTGCACCTTCACAAGTATTAACCACTTCAATACCGGGCACTTATCCCCCCTTCCTGCCCTGGCCAATTTTCAGGTTTCCGCGCTGTTGAACTTTGAATGACAACTGCACGGTCATGCAACATTGTACCCATATGAAATTTTTATCATTTTTTTCACACAAATAGAGCTTTCTCTTGCGCTATAAACAAAAAAAAGAGCAAAAAAATAATTAAAAAAAAGTTTCTTTGTTTCTATTATAAAATTTTGCAAAGAAGTAATTTTTCTCCTTCACTGATGTGTGTTGATGAGGCTGCACAGATAGGCAGCAGTGATGGGCACTGATAGGAGGCATTGATAGGCGGCACTGATGAGCTGGCACTGATAGGCAGCACTGATGAGCTGGCACTGATGGGCACTGATAGGCAACACTGCTGGGCAGCACTGATGGGTGGCAGTTCTGGGCACAGGTGGGTGGCACTGCTAGGAACTGCTGGGCACAGGTGGGTGGTACTGCTAGGCACTGCTGGGCACAGGTGGGTGGCACTGCAGGACACAGGTGGGTGGCACTGATGGGCACAGGTGGGCGGCACAGGTGGGCGGCACTACTGGGTACTGATCATCAGTGCTGATCACTTGTCTGACAATTGCTGGTTATCGGCAGTACTTTCTTCATGCTGTGACAGCATGAGGAAAGTGCAGCTGCTAACCAGCAACTGTATTTAGCCGATGATCTGCTTTGTCATTGGACACAGCTGATCATGTGGTAAAAGACCGCTGTGATTGGCCGTTTACCGTATCATGTGATCAGCTGTGTCTTGTGGACTGAATATCTGGAATTTCACTTTCTCCCAGTGATTCCACAGTAAGAGCTAATCATGCCAATTCTGTGCTCCTTTATAATTTGTTTTATGCAAGCTAGATATTTTGTTGGCTAACTGTGGATTGTTATAATTTTTTGAGGTTCATGTTAACATGTTCCTTGCAGGAAAATTACTATGAGGTCATGGGTGGTGATTGATTTCTTGACATAAGGGGGTTTATTTACTAAAGCTGGAGAGTCCAAAATCAGACTCCCTTCTGCATAGAAACCAATCAGCTTCCAGGTTTCATTGCCAAAGCTTCATTGAACAAGCTGAGGTTAGAAGCTGATTGGTTTCTATGCAGAAGGGAGTCTGATTTTGGACTCTCCAGCTTTAGTAAATAAACCCCAAGGTGTCTAATACTATTGCTTTGCATGGCCTCAAATAGTTGCATCCATCACTTCTTCATGGTGGAAATTTCAAAGAGGAACGGCACCGCTCTAAATTCCCAGGTACTCCACTGCTTGAGTGCTGGTCTGTGAGAGCCCATCCAGCTTAGCCAACAATAAAAAATAGAAGAACAAAGCAACACTCCATAAAAGTCAAACTGCAGCGTTTAACAAGTATAGCTTTCTTCCAGCACAGTCCCTGCTTTAGGCCACACCTCTTTGATGCGTTTCACCCCAACTGGACTTGTTAGTCTATGAATAAGCACAATTGGGGTGAAATGCATCAAAGAAGTGTGACCTAGGGTGGGGACTATGTTGGAAGCCAGCTATACTCATTAAATTCTACAGTCTGCTTCCAGTTGCCAGTTCTATCCCGACTGTGATTCGGTGCTGTTCCAGCAGAATTCAAGCCGCGAAGGAAAGTAGAGCTTGTGGAGAAGCAGTTTCCCAGCAAAATGGTGCCCGCTAATTGCGGCGCACCAAATAGACTATAAATAGATACATTAATCATCTGGCTGCACTGGCATACCCCAACTGAAGAAGTACTTTCATACGAAACGCATCTTGGAGGAGCCTGCATGCTTTTGAAGCTACGCCACCAGATCACGGAGGTCCGGTGGCCCCCCACATCATACCAGCTGGTCAGTGCACATAGCGGCGCTTCTTTGTTGCTGCATTACTCTGCAATACTTGTTACTATAGTATACCATACTGTGTCGCTCTGGGAGGACTGTGTCCATTTATTCATATACCATTTATTTACTTTTTATTGCTACTAATAAAATTGAATTACTACACTATGGGCATTCCCCTTACGGCTCTTTGGTGAGCTTTTAATTCCCCAGAGCTCCCCCTGGTGACCATCCCTGGTTTATGAAAGATTACACGTCCTTAAAGTGGACCCCCGGATATAAAGATACCCTGACGTTAACCTACCTTTCCTAAGCTGTACCATTTAAAAGGGACTCCGGGCAGACCTCCGTGTGATTAAATACATTGCGCATTTTCTTGCGCATTTGGTGAGTGTGCACTTTATCTACTTGTTGCCACCCACCTTTATGTTGGATTACCACTGGGATTAATCGCATCACCTAGGGGCTCATGCATGACCTTTGAATCTCTTTATGGACTTTTATTAATGGTTTTTATGAATATACATGATATTTATGTATGGTTTTTGTGTGGTTTACACACTTTTTTTACTTTATTTTGTTATCTGACTATTTTATTATTTTTAGCGCTGCACTTTCTGATCTTAGTTACTCTGAGGGTTTATGGTTTCCTTTTTAGTGCATAGCCGCTTCTCTGTTCATTAAGCGCTTGCTGATACTCTCTTTATTAAATCATTAAATTCTACAGTTTCACTTTTAGGGAGTAAGGCTTTGTTTGTCTACTTATTCATGGTGAGTATCACAACT